AAAAATGCAGGAATGCCAGAAAAGAAGGTGAGATTTGGGACAGGTAAAACAAAATGGAAGGAGGTCTGGCTTGGGGGAATTGTTGTCACAATAAGCCTACTGTCAGACAATCTGTGAAATTGTTCTACCTGGCATGCTGTTATTTTCAAAGAATGAGAAAATTTATACTTGTTTCAATGATTGTCCAGACGGACTGTCTTTTGAAAATACAATTCATTTACAAGGTAAATACAGCAACCATTAAAAGACCTAGGGCCTAAACCCACAAAAAAAATGAAGGGAAAAAAATTGGCCAGCATGACCTTTGAAAACAAAAGTCATGAAAACTTACGATTTCATAAACGAACAACAGCGACGGTCGGTGTTAGCGTGAACATTCGGTATACCGCACCTTTCCATGGCCCACTGAGGTTCGTGCATAGCCCTACACCAGCAACAGGATTTTGTTTTGACCGACCGACCTTAACTCAAGTGGTAAAAGAAATGAGAACCACAGAATTTAATAAGGGCGCCCTTAAGGACTGTAAAAAACTGCCAACAAGTCTTTCGTAGTCCCATACACATTATTGACTGAAAAAGTAGATGTACAACTGTAATCCATAGGCTGAAGGGGAATTTGGATTGCTTTGAACTTAAAGTTTCTTCATAAAAAGGAGTTTATCTCATGTGAATATATCACCATTTCACTTTCACCCCTTAAGGTAATGTTATTGTCCAAACTGAGAAGGATTGTGCAGCATGGCTACTCCTTTTCAAGCTCTGTGGTGAAGCTGTTTCTTTCACACAAAATCTGCAATTATGAGACATTTAACCTCCTGATTTCCAATCTCAATAACGTTTCATGCCCAAAATCCAAGAGTACTGTAGTTACAACATCTATTGATTTGTAAAATGTTTTTGATGTGCACTGATGGCATGTGGATGGTTTTAGACTGGTGTACATGTGGCAAACTCTGTGACTGTGGAGACTGCACTAAGGCTAAGTCAATTAAAATAATTCACTATTTGAATATTCGACCTTCAATTTGATAAAATATCCGAATATTCAGTTGCACCAACCAGCAGATTGTTGATGAACAAACCGTTTACAAAATCAGTTGCAATAACATGCACTATTGTACATTATGATCAATAAAGTAGCTTCTCACATCTAGGAGTATCTCCAGCCACGATTTACCAAAATTGAAAGATGAACAAGACTTCTTGCCCTGTTGAAGATTTCTATTCCTTTTAAATTATTTAATGAATAATTTACTTCTTAAATCATATTAAGATTTATGATGCTTTTCATAATCTGCCTTAAACAAGCCTGGAGCCATAGTGTAATTTTTCTCATTTAAAATAAAAGAAAATTTTCCCTTCCTTTTCATGAATGTTGCTTTCGAATATTCAACTCTGAAAAATAACATGTGAATATTCGACAAATGATCGAATATTCGGTTACTCGGATATTTGGCAGAGCCCTAGACTGTACTCACTTCACTTCATGATACAGTGTTCTTTATTTGACAAATTTTCAGCGGTGTTTTGTTGAAGGAAGAGACAACAACTTGAAGATATGGTACATGTAAATTTGCTGACCACGAGCACAGTTTGAAGCAGTTGAAAAAAATGCCCAGTTGGAGGGCCATAATACACACATCCACAGATCGACCTCAGTTGTGAATCATCCAGACTCTCGGGAACACCCTGTGGCCCATAGATTTTTTGCAAGACAAATTAAATGAGCTGCACTTTGAATGTTAAAAATGAATCGCAGTTTTTATTGTCTTTCTCAAGGAAGTGAACTCAAAAATCTGAAACAAGCCCAAGTCCTTTGTGTATCATTTCATGGACAGTGTTGAATCTAAATAACTTGCTTCAAGCAAAGGGGGTCTATGAAGATATTAGATACAAATTAGGAGATCTGATTCAGGAGTGTTGTCAAATGAGAATGGCACTATTTCCATACCTATTAGTTTTGTGATGGGGAAAATTGCCACATATTCCCTGTGTGGATGTTGTTATTGGATTGAAACCATTCTGCATTTACATGTATATCTGTCTTTATTTGTGTATTTATCAAACATTTGGGAGCAGAGATATCTTGCAAAGTTTGATGGCCTAGTTTGAACCATTCACAAGCCTTTGAATGCACTAGCCAGCTTCAAGGATGTGGCATGCACACTTTTGAATACGTTCAATTTGGTATGTCTGACTTTTGCTGAAATTACCACGTCAAACAGTTAACGTAAAGGAATTGATTTGGTAGCAGTATATACTTTTTCTTGAGATTTGCAGTGTTCTTTCTTTGCATTGTAGATGCTGGAACCGTACCCGTGGGGACCTTCCATTGTGGACACTCAAATGATACGCATTGGTCAGTTTGCCGTTGTGGCAGTTCCTGGTGAATTCACGTGAGTATACTGTCCTATTTTTCCTTTCCCAGGTACTTCACAAAAAGGTGAGCTCCAGTTTCTAAGTAGAATCTTCTGATGTAAAAAAAATCCCAACCCATGTGTCTTCAAGGATCAGCCTCTTTTCCTAAGAACAGTCCTGTGGTTTGACTTTTTCTGCAGGCGGCTAACGTGTGATGTTTGTCATTCTTGATCTCAAGCTGACATAATACCTTCCTATTTTTCGCTCTCCANATAGTAGAAAGCCATTACTGCTTTACATATGGTATGAGTAAAAAAATCACAGTGTTTCAGAGTGATTTTTAATGATGTTTGCCTAATTTAAATGACATTTGGATACTGTGCTGACACCATTAGTTTGAAAAAATAATCACAAAAGAAGGCTACTGGCACCACTGAAATGAGATTTAGGCAGTAAATGGATGAATTGTTACCATTGTGAAGTTCTAAACTCAGTTTTCCAGTAATTTTGCATATGCAGTAAAATTGCTTTGATATACCCATGAATGTGACAAAGACATTAGCGGTCTAGCAATTTTTTCCAGAGCAAATTTACATTGATGAAACAACCAATTTACCGCCAAAAAATTTAATTTGCATTTATGCAAATTTTGCAGTAATGGCTATTACTCTGATTAAAGTTGGACAATTAAACACAGTGCGCATGATTTGTTGAATCTTAAAAGTGGAACAGTCCACTTTGAATTATCCTTAAATATCTTTAATACTGCAAAGTAAGTAAACAATACTGTGGCGGAAAATGAAGGGGGGGATTCTGAGATTTCCTTGCAAAACTTTGCGACGATAGCGCTGCCACCAGGCCGAATAGTTAAGGCCTAAACCTCCGGAGTTCTGCCTCTCTGTTTTAGCAAATCGTTTTGGCCGGGTCAAACTATATGACAAAGTTACTTCAGGAGGAGAATCAGGTGCAGGGAAAAATGGAATGCAGGGACACCAGTAATTCAGAACAGAGGTGGAACAATTCTTAAATTGCATAAGCAGCAGCTTCAATTCAGTCAGCAGCTCCATTTACACTCAGTATTTACAGTCCTCAGTTTCCCAATTTGCAGACTAGAATTAATTTGCAAGACCAAATTAATCAAAGCTTGACGAGTTCTCGATACACCAAGGGAGAATAGGAAGGGGGGGTAATAAATGTAAGTTTCCACGCAAGGTACCTAGCGACCAGGTATCGCATACCCTAGTACAGTATCGTTTAAATGTGTTCAATAATTAATTGACTTAAGACAAGGCTTCATCTAAGCCTCCAAAGTCTTACAGAAATGATTACTCAACTTCCTTCAGAGCTCTAAGTAGATTCTCTTCTCGATAAAATACACCAAGGCTCAATTAATATTTCTGACCCAGGCCAGCTCACTAAACACTTTGACCCCAAGGCCAATCTCAAAATTAATAACTCAGGCCCCAGGCCTCTTCTAAACAATATATCACTAGTCCCAGGCCAGTGTGAATAGGTATAATGTACTATTGTACATTATGATCAATAAAGTAGCTTCTCACATCTAGGAGTATCTCCAGCCACGATTTACCAAAATTGAAAGATGAACAAGACTTCTTGCCCTGTTGAAGATTTCTAATCCTTTTAAATTGTTTAATGAATAATTTACTTCTTAAATCATATTAAGATTTATTTTCATAATCTGCCTGAAACAAGCCTGGAGCCATAGTCTAATTTTTCTCATTTAAAACAAAAGAAAATTTTCCCTTCCTTTTCATGAATTTTGCTTTCGAATATTCAACTTTGAAAAATAACATGTGAATATTCGACAAATGATCGAATATTCAGTTACTCGGATATTTGGCAGAGCCCTAGACTGTACTCACTTCACTTCATGAAAAAGTTTTCTTTATTTGACAAATTTTCAGCGGTGTTTTGTTGAAGGAAGAGACAACAACTTGAAGATATGGTACATGTAAATTTGCTGACCACGAGCACAGTTTGAAGCAGTTGAAAAAATGCCCAGTTGGAGGGCCATAATACACACATCCACAGATCGACCTCAGTTGTGAATCATCCAGATTCTCGGGAACACCTTGTGGCCCATAGATTTTTTGCAAGACAAATTAAATGAGCTGCACTTTGAGTGTTAAAAATGAATCGCAGTTTTTATTATCTTTCTCAAGGAAGTGAACTCAAACATCTGAAACAAGCCCAAGTCCTTTGTGTATCGTTTCATGGACAGTGTTGAATCTAAATAACTTGCTTCAAGCAAAGGGGGTCTATGAAGATATTAGATACAAATTAGGAGATCTGATTCAGGAGTGTTGTCAAATGAGCATGGCACTATTTCCATACCTAGTAGTTTTGTGATGGGGAAAATTGCCACATATTCCCTGTGTGGATGTTGTTATTGGATTGAAACCATTCTGCATTTACATGTATATCTGTCTTTATTTGTGTATTTATCAAACATTTGGGAGCAGAGATATCTTGCAAAGTTTGATGGCCTAGTTTGAACCTAGTTTGAACCATTCACAAGCCTTTGAATGCACTAGCCAGCTTCAAGGATGTGGCATGCACACTTTTGAATACGTTCAATTTGGTATGTCTGACTTTTGTTGATATTACCACGTCAAACTGGGACAGTTAACGTAAAGGAATTGATATAGTAGCAGTATATACTTTTTCTTGAGATTTGCAGTGTTCTTTCTTTGCATTGTAGATGCTGGAACCGTACCCGTGGGGACCTTCCATTGTGGACACTCAGATGATACGCATTGGTCAGTTTGCCGTTGTGGCAGTTCCTGGTGAATTCACGTGAGTATACTGTCCTATTTTTCCTTTCCCAGGTACTTCACAAAAAGGTGAGCTCCAGTTTCTAAGTAGAATCTTCTGATGTAAAAAAAAATCTCAACCCATGTGTCTTCAAGGACCAGCCTCTTTTCCTAAGAACAATCCTGTGGTTTGACTCTTTTTGCAGGCGGCTAACGTGTGATGTTTGTCATTCTTGATCTCAAGCTGCCATAATACCTTCCTATTTTTCGCTCTCCACATTTTTACTGAAAGTTGGGCTCCAGATTCTTGATT